AAAAGTTTCCCACGGTGTGAAAGGCCCTATAGACTCCAGGGCTCGACATTAACGCCAGACAAGTAACATGATTAAAACCTCAGTAACCAAAAATAACTATGTAAACACCAAAACGCAAGTATTATTCTGATTTTATTACATTTAGAGTAAGACTCACTCATTAAACGCTCACTACTGGCACCTACTAGCGTTTTAATTTCTTTGAAAAGTATCATTTCCACCATAATTTCTTGTTTGTATATTCAAAAATATTTAAAAGTTGTATTTTTCAGTGTAAATGATTTAATTTGATAACGTATAGATAATCACATTATTATAATTGAATTTATAGATCAAAGGTAAGAATTTGAAATGATAGTACTAATGAGATTAGTGGGAATAGAATAAATAATTTGCACAAAAAACAAAACACACTTATATATACTTACCGTATATATATATATATATATATATATATAAGCTCGATACCATAGAGCCCCCCCCCCACATAACAAATCCCAATTTAACCCCTGCTTATAGTGTTAAACTTTCTTCCTTCAAACATTATACCATAAAGCTGAACATACATAGAAGGGCTCCCCCGTAGAGTCTGATGGACATCCTGGTGGTGGTAATCTCAAATATTAGTTCGTAGAGCTGGCTGGGAAAAGCCAGGGCCTACAACACAGAGAAGAAGGTCACATAATGAAGGTAATGGTACAGAAACTGGCATTAAATCTGCTAAAAAATCCTTTAAGATGACAGAAAAACAAGAAATGTCAATTCTAAATTCAAAAATGAAAAGCAGGTTTGGGGTTGATAGTATTTTTTTTTACATTTTTGAAAGAAGTCTCTTATGCTCAACAAGGCTTTATGTGAAAAAATACAATAAAAATTATACAATAATAATGTGAAAAATTATTACAATTTAAAATAACCATTTCCTATTTCAATATATTGTATTTTAAATGTAGAAATTGAATAAATTGTAATTTATTCCCTGATGGCAAAGATGAATTTTCAGCAGCCATTACTCCAGTCTTAAGATGTCACATGATCATTCAGAAATCATTCTAATATGCTGGTTTGGTGCTGAAGTAAAAGTTCTTACTATTATCAGTGTTGAAAACCGTGCTGCTTAATATTTTTGTGGAAACTTAAACTTGCATTAATGCAATGAATTAATGCATCCTTGCTGAATAGAAGTACTAATTTATTTATTTTAAATTGACCCAAAGCTTTTAAACAGTAGTGTAAATGATTAAACAAACCACAATGAGAAGTATTTCATTTTGGAGAATGAACTGTTAAACATTTTGACTAAACTTCTCACCATTAAGGATGTGGATGTGAAAAGCACTGCAGAGATGAGGAGCCAAAGCCTGCAATGAGAGAATGAAAGACACTACACATCAAACCAGCTGGCTTATAATAAGACACAAATGAGCCACAATCAAAACCCTCAAGGATTGGCAAAAAACAAAACAGCACAGAACACTGGAGCAATTAAATTAGCAGGGTGTCTGATGTCACATGCAAAGACAGAGACAAGTCAGTGGTCTGATTATATGAAAGTGCATGTTCTGAAAGAGAATGATCATTTCTAAAGTCTTACCGGAGACCAATGGGCTCACGTACAGCAAACTTCATCTCATTACCCAACATCTGACTGATCTGCAAAATGACAGAATTGTCAATATTAGCAGGTAACACTAGGCGCGTTTCCATTCGAGATTTGTGCAAAACTTTGGCGATATTTTATAAATGTCGATAAAATGTATTGCGAAATGACGGCGTTTCCATTAACCAATGTTATGCGACTAAAACGTAACGTTTTGCCTCTCGCGATAAGTCATGGCAACGGATTTGGGTGGGATTTTGACGGATTTTGCCTATGTTTATTCAGAGGAGGCGTATGCATGTATCTTTACAGAAGCAGCACAGAGAGCCGCTTCAGAAACGTGCGTGGCGCAGCTGGATTCTGGAATAAACAAGCATTGTGGCCGCAATCAGCTTCATTGGCCGTATCAGAGCCACACTGCATCGCAGACGTGTGCAGTATAAACTGTCTAAGCATTAATGGTAGGGAAAGCCCCTTATACTGGAGTAATGGAAACGCGCCTACTGTAAGACACATGAGAGACACATCAATAACTTTGATAAACTTATTACAATCTTTCTATAAACATACAAAAAATACAGGCCCATGGTAGGAAAATGTCAAATTTAGAAAAACAGGACTGACTCACAAAAGTGGGATTATCAGATTTGCTGATAGCCCAAGCCTGCCAAGACTGAATGGGCCATGCAGAGGGACACAGTTTTATTTTGTGAAACTGGAAACTTTGGTGGAGCATCTAAAGGGACTGATAGGAAAGTTTGAGTTTTGTTTTGATTTAATAGGTCTATTTTGACAGCAGGCTGGGTGGATTCACAATGATGGCTTTGTGTTCATAATCCAGGCTGAGGGAGCAGAGCTCCTTCAGACAGAATCAGACAGAGACAGATAAGGATGTGGAAGGTGTTACAATATAATGCTTCCTTTGGTTAGCCTAACTCTCGTGATTCCATAAGTGACATGGAATACTGCAAGAGAATGCTCTCTTTAAAAGAGCATATGAGTAAGCAACGTGCCTCTAACATTATAATTATGAAAACATCATGAAAGCTACAAAATAAGATTTAAAGGAAGGTAATTTATTGCAAAAACTTCTTTTTATCTTAGACTATGTTTCAAAAAGCGAGAGCAAGAATTTTAGAAAAATGAAAGTAGTCCGTTATGTTCACTGAGGCCGCATTTATTTGATCAAAGAATACAGTAAAATCAGTAATATTTGAAATATTATCATTTAAATTAACTATTTCCTATTTTAATATATTTTCAAATGTAATTTATTCATGTGCTGACAAAGCTGAATTTTGCTGATTTAGTGCTCAAGAAATATATTTCCTATCATCATCAATTTTGAAAACAGTTTTGCTGCTTGAAGTTTAAAAGAAAAACATTTATTTGAAATAGAAATCTATTGTAACATCATAAATGGCTTTACTATAACTTGTTAAAAAAATACTTGCATCCTTTCTGAATAAAAGTATTAATTTCTTTTTTTTTTTAATTACTGACCTCAATTTTTGAATGGTAGTGTACATTTTTTGTACAAACATAAACAGGTGGTTAAGATAAGAAGGTCAATGAACCTTTCGCTAAGCCCGGCCTTAAAAAAAAAAATTTTTAAACAAAACTGGCCAATCCTACCCTGGCTACTATTACCATCTGCCATGTATTCTAACAAACTTGCTCTTGTCTAGTGTTAGCTCTTTATGCCAAATAAAACCTAAAAGCATACTGAAAATGGTACCTTCTTGGTAACTATAATTTTATATTTAAATTCAAGGTTGTTCTAGATGTTCTTAAATAATACCACAGAAGATTCACTCAATGCATTCTTTTCTTGTCTGCATAAAAACACTAACATGAAAGCTTGTCAGATCTACCAATAGTAACCATCGGTTGCAGGCTTAGAGGGATCAAATATTCAGCAGGATATCAGTAGGAAACTATACAGTAGCAATCTACATTTACATATTTTTGAAACACATAAATAGGCATTATCTTTACTTTGATGTGCTCAATAAGAAATTATCACAATTATGTTACCTAGCTATTTCCATTTCCATCTAAAAAAAAAAAAGCACTGGCTTCCACGGATAAAAAAAAAA